AAATCCCTGCCTCCCACAGCATAGACTATACGGGCTTTGTAGTAATAAGTCCATGATTCCTATCCATCCCTCCATCTGGCCCCAAAGAGAGAAAGTCTGTCGCATAAAGATCCCAACTAACAGGAGCAGTGACATCACAGTCTCTAAAGCAAACACTTATTGAGTGACTATTTTTGGTCATTCTGCAAGGCACTAGGGAACCGGAACGGCCAGCACACTGCACTCACGGAGCTCACAACTCTGTGGGGAGACACACGTGTACAGACTGTGCAGATGTGCTGGATTCTTCCCGCATTATGAGATTATTCATTCACAGTTACTGAGTGTCTCTGTGTCAGACACAGTGCCCTGGACTGGGGAAAAAGTAGAATATCCTATCCCCTTCTGCAGATTGCAAAGCACTTCCACATACATAGTCCTATTTCGTTTCTTCAAATTCCAAATTCTTTGGAATTTGCACAATATCCATCACAGCTCTCCTGTCTTCTTACAGTAGAAAAGCTCCAAAACAGGGTTGGTGCTTAGAGTCATCCTGGGGAAAGCTAATGAAGGCAACGTTTCTCCCTGGGTCACGCTGGCAGGTCATTTCTTCTGTCCTGAAGCACCCTTTAGCCCACCCTCCTCTCCCTGTTCTGCCCCTCCCACACGGTCTGGCCTGTTCCATTAATGAACTCAAATCCAAGGCCTCAAAAAGAAGATCCCAGGGTGTCACAGGAGTTCCCCTGGAGCAGCACCTAGCCTTTCCCTAGGGTCCTTGTCTCCCTGCCTTCCCCTGGATTTTCTTTCACCGTATTGAATCACTTCTTTAGGTGCATTTAACATTCTTCCCCATATTTCTACTATAAGGTGTGCACGGAGCTGGGCACCCAGTAAAGGATCACAAACTCAGCCAATATTTGGTAAGTGAATGAATAAATCATTTAACAGAAATAAAAATACGTTGGCCCAATTCCTTGGTATATAACATTTTTAAGTATCCATGTGTGAGGATCCTAATCTTTATTTTCTTCTGGTTCAGAATACTAGCTGGAACTACTCTATGACAAAAGAGATTCAAAGCATGCCTTACGTATGTTAGCTCTTTTTAATGAGGAATGTTCCGTGTGGATGATCTTACTAGCAATGTTAGTTTGGGGCTTTGGGTTTTCTTTGTTTTTGTTCTTATGGCCAAATGGTGCTCCTGCATCGTGCTTCAAATTGCATTCGAAAAAGAAAGTTTCCAGGGAGGCAGCAAATACCTTTGGAGGAAACTTGGAGAAAGACAGACAGAGAATTGACAGGAGGGTCGATTATTTTCCATTCCCTTATAAGAATACTCTTTGCCAACTAAAATTAGACCATGAGTCACTGCAGCCTGCCATGTTTTAGGGGGTGATTGAACTGATATCATATAAGTGATTTTATATTACATTCTTCATTCTTTTTTATTTGCATCCAAACCTGACAGATCTCAGCAATTATGCTAAATATCGATTTATAATTTCCCTTGGCTTATTCTAACAATGCAACCAGATAAGAACCGTAAGATTGTTTTATTTATAGCCTTAATATGATGCTTTGAAGTGACTAGTAAAAACAAGACTGGCCTCCAACTGTGCTGCCTGCTGCAAGACGAGTTTCCAGGGTTCACAGACAAAGCAGCAGGAAATCAGGGCATGGGGGGGTCAGTACATCCGAGACCCACTACGTTCCATCATTTGTCTCTAAGACATGTTGCAAGCTTCCA